CAGCCAGAGCCGCAGCCCGGAGCTCTCTCTCTGCTTCTTGGAGTGGGTCACGGGGGAAGGAACGCGTAGAGCTTGTTTGCCAGCCGCATGATTTGGCTTATTTGCTCTCTTTGTAGCAGGTGCTTAATTGTGGCAGAAAGGGTTCCCGGCAGCTTTCAGGGCGGCCAAATTGCCGCCTGCCCCCCTCCCGGCCAGGCAAAACAAAAGCACGATTGTCACTCGCAGTCGAAACGCTCCGAGCTGCGCAGCTCCAGCCGGCCCCTTTTCCCGGGAAGAGAGAGCCGGTGGCTGGAGGCACCGGGGAGGGCACCAGGCAGGGGAAGAAGGGGCTGGGGAGCATCTATGGAGCACGTGGATGCTGCTCACAGCCCCCCTGCTCCGTGGGAGGAGAAACAAGAGTCTCAGCTGACTTGCTGCATCAAGCAAGCCCACGGCATGGCATGGCATGGCATGGCATGGCATGGCACAGCTGCCCATGGCAAGGCACAGCTGCCAGGTGGGATCTCCCCTCCCTCAGCACTGCTGTCTCTGGCAGGGCTGTGATTAAAAGGCCGTTTTCTCCCTGCTCCCATCTCTCTCCCTGATTTAAGCCTCTTGCAGTCGTCCCCAGGGACTCCCATCTGTCCAGCTCCGTAATCACCCTCCCTCCCAGGCAAAGAGCTCCAAACCCGAGGGCTGAGCACTGGGGGTCACCCCGGGGAGCTCACACCACTGGCACCAGCATCCCTTTTCACCCCACAGCGTCCTCCTGCCCCCCTGTCCTGCTCCCCAGCGAGGAATGAAGAAGCTCCCCAGGTCCCCGAGACATGAGCGGACATTGCTCCAGCCGTGCCCTCCCCAGTAAACTTTATGACTCTCTAGTTTAATGCCAGGGGCGTTTCCACCCCTCCCGGGTGCTGCCAGGCCCCTGCTCAGCCTTGCTGAGGGTCAGGATGCAGGAATCCAAATCCAAACCCGTTTGCTCCTTGGAGCAGCCAGAAAATGCTCTGCAATCGCTGGAGCTTTCCCGGCCCTGCCCCCACCAGGGCCCCCCTCCCTGACCCCCAACTCAAGCTGAGCTCAGTGTTATTCACCTTGCAAAGGCCTGAAGGGCTGAGGCAGACCAAGGCAATGCACCCCTCGCTGCAAAAGGGGGCTTGGAGTGGAGAGACACCCCAACACACTCCAGCAGCCCCAGACCACACATTCCCAAAGCCCCCCCCCCCAGGATCATGCCTTTGCCTGGCTCTGCTCTAAGCTCTGCTGTGAGTTTTCCACCCTATCCATGGGAGAAAGAGGCATCACAGTGAAGTGTGTCAGAGGGGAGCAAAGAGCAAAGTCCCCTGGAGAAAGTGGCTGGAGGAAAAGTGCTGGAACGAGGGGGCTGGAGGAGGCAGCTCGGGGGAGGAGGGTACTTACAGGCTGTGAGCCATGGCAGTCATCTTCCCGGCAGGGCTGCCTTTCCCTTGGCTTTCCATCTCTTTCTCTTGGCAGACTCTGAAAGGAGAGGGCAGAAGGGCTCTGTAAAAACACCCCAAACACGGACTCAGACCCCAAAGCCACCCCGTCCCTCTGCACGGTGTCACCCCACAACCTTGGGGACAGGGAGCCTTTGGGAAGGCAAGTCCACCTGGGCTGGCCAAGAAGTGTCCCAGTGTGGGGACAGAGCTGTCCCTCCTCTTCCCACTGTCCCTGTGTCTCGCTGCCAGGTCTGCCCTCCTCGTGCCACCCCCTTCGCCGTGCAGAGCAGTCTGAACAAACAGATCTGAATATCCAGATCTGTGCAACAGGCACACACACACAGCCCCGGCCCTGCTCTGCAGGTTCCACAGTGACAACTTCCCCTCAGCCCTGGGGCACTCCAGGGGTGCCCCAGTTCCCAGCCCTGCTCCAAGCACCTTACCCTTGGGCTAAGAGCCTTCCCTGTGGGCACAGACACCCCGGGCAGTGCCTGGCTCCCGGGGTGGCCAGCGGACCAGCATGTTTGGTTTGCCCAAGGCTCCTCTGCCGGGAGCTCTGGAGCCAGGCAGGGCAGCAGGGCTGTCCCTCCTTCCCCTGTCACTGGCTCAGCAGTGCCTGCACACGTCAGGCTGGAGCAGAGTCCAGCCTGGGCTCTGCTCCTGGCAAAGCCAACCCGTGCCTGGCTCCCGCTGGGAAGTGGGTTCCACGGACACACCACGGCTCTGGGTCCTTCCATGGATTCAGCAGGAAGAGCAATAAGGGTCACTCCTCCATTTTGCTGCTCTGAAAACCCCCAGTTTTTCTTCCTGGGATCTCCTGGCTGAGGGCAGCTGCCAGAGGCATCTTTGTGGGCTCCCCAGCCCCAGCAGCAGCCAGGGAGGGAGGTGCCAGCTCAGAAAAAAATGGGGTTTGTGGGCTTCATATCCACTGGGAGCCAGGAAGAAGGAGAAATCTTCAACCAGCACTTTGCAAAAATGGCAAACCCCCAACCTTGATGGGGGAACAGTGGGGACAAAGGGACCCTGCACCACTGGGATGTGCCAACACACTGGTGGGGAGCAGGCCAGGGAGGAGAGCCCACGAAACCAGAAGGAAAGGTCTAAAACAAGCAAAAAGAACATTTTTGCACCTTTCATCCCCTGTTCTGACAGAGCAGAAGGGTCTGTCCCCGAGCCAGGAGATTGGGGTGCTCTGGCAATTCACTGCCTGCACATCCTGTGGCCCAGCTGCCCACCTGGATCCCGTCTCCCAGCCCTGGAATCAGCCACCTGATCCTCCTCGGGGTGACAGCTCACCCTGCCATCGACACCAACTGCACAACTTCAGGGACTCAGCGCTCAGCTTATAAATATTTAAACCCAGAAGGAGCCGTGTGCTGCTGTAAAATGAGACTTATTACACAAGCGCAGCCTCCCCTCGCCCCAGCGCTGAGCTAATGAACATTTGGGGCTCTCCAGGCGGATCTTTCACAGCTAAAAACCAGGTCAGGGCAAACCCCAAGGTCCTGGTCCGTGTGTGCAGGATTTCTGCCCCCTCCAGCTGGGATGTATTGGGTTTAGCACCCTGAGGGGTGCAGGAAACGCTACTGAGGTGGAATCACAGCTGAGGCTGCTCCTCCAGGTGCCTCTTCCCGACATCCCAGCCAGGTTTTGGGGTGCAGGGCCGGCCCCACACTCTGGGAGAGGCTGCAGCTGCAGCCTGGAGCACTGACAGGCTCCCCCCGGCCTGGCTGCCTCATGCAGCATTCACAGTTTCATACAGTATTAAGAGCTGCTGACGCCTCGTGAAAAAGCTGTGAAAAGCTTCTATTTGGGGAAAGTTCCTCTTATAACGGTGCATCCTGTGGCTTCTCTGTTTCCCTTTTCTCCTGCTTCTCTTGCCGTGGAGAGCAGCGCAAAAAAAACAGGCGGATTAACGTTGCCAACCAGCCTGGGCTCTTCAGCAGGAGAGGAAAATAACCCTTCAAGCAGCTTCCCCCCAGGGAATTGGTTCTCACATTGCACCCAGAGAGCTGCTGTGGGTGGGGGGTGGGTGCCTGGGCGCTGCTGGTCAGAGAGAAGGGGGAAAATGGGACCCTCGGGGGACTGACTCCTGGGGCTGGTTGCAGCCAGCACCCCCAACAGAGCATGGTGTGGGGTCTGGGAGGGCTGCACGTCTCCTAAAGGGGGAGAAATGCTGGGTTTGCTTGGTTTAGACCTTTCCCTCAGCAGCAGCTGTTTCCTGGGCTCTCCTCCCCACTCTGCTCCCCAGCACATCCCGTCCTGCCATCTCCTTTTACCCCCACTGTTCTCCCCCATTTAAAAAAAAATAAAAAAAGAATTAAAACATCAAAGAACGAGGAGTCTGTTTCTAAGCAACTGTCTCCAAGAACGGATGGAGAGCAGAGGAAGGGGAAGAAGCAATGCTGGGTGGGGGGGGAGAAAACTCGTGGGGATCCCAGAGCCCCTGTTGGGGTGAGGGAGGGAAGGAACGGCCAGAAAAGAGGGAACATGGGATGTCAGACAGCACTGGGAGCAGGCCAGGAACCCCTGGAGTAGGCAAATCACCCTCTTTCATCATCACAGAGCCTGGCTGCAAGTCCTGGCCTGCTGGAGGGCGGC